GTTTTATAGAAAAATCCCTGTTTTATTCTGTGCACATGCTCATAATTTTATTACATGCAGGCACTGAGCTCAGGGAACAAGGACATCTGAAGTTCTGGATTGTCTATGCTACAGGCCTATGAATTTACTTTGTACTCAGTCCTGCTCCACCACAGAACTGTGCTTCCCTGCCTGCCCTGGGAGGGGAATGCTGCCTGCACCAGGTCCCTGCTTCCTTCTGTGCTGGTGAAATCCTTCTGGATGAATTTGAAAGGCGGAAACAAAGCTTCCTCTCCCTCACCATGTCCAGAGGGAAGCTATACCCCATAGAACTGTGGGTGCTCATGAGGGCAAAAGGACAATCTCATGTTTACTGCAAATTTATGGGTTAATATATTGAAAGTGTGACATAGCAAAGGCCTTAAAATACTTCAGGCTGCTTTAGCATGCATGGCATCCACATCTTGCTAACATGCCATCCTAATTCCACTCTTTTGCTTCACAGACAAGTACCACTTTATTAGCCACAAATCTATTATCTCCTCATTTGAAGGGCTCTGAATAGGCTTATAGCAACATTCTGCTTTTGTAATACAACAGGTCTTTTCACATTGGTTAAAAATACTTTAGGAAATGAAAAATAAAATTCAACAGTGACAGACATTCCAGTTGTTCCTTTCATCCTCCCAGTGTGAGCCAGCAGGTGCAACTTGACAGTCTTTAAACAAACCTTCCCCCTGCTTTGTGGCTGAATAAAGGCTTCGACAAATACTTATCCTTTGATATGATGTGTACTTGACAAAATTCACAGGGAGATCTGAACTGTGGCTTTGAAGCAAATACTTATTAGAACACTGGAGCACTAAAGTGCACTGTGATTTGGGTCGGTTGCTAGTAAGATATCAAGTAAAATGTGCCCATTATGTCATTTCAAAGCCAAGTCTAAACACTGACTTCTGAGAAATCTGAAGAGAATTTGTGGTTGTGCAGCTCCCCTGCTTTATTGCTTATCTAATTTGCATTTCCTTCTCTATCTGTCAGTTCCCCTCTGCATTTCAAGCTGAGCTGTTGGTGAATCATCTGGAATTCATTAAATATTTTCCATTACTTTACTTTATTTTTCACTTTCAAACCTTCTCCTCCTCTCCCCCTCTGCCCCAAAATGCAACGCACTTCCAGCTAAACAGGAGAGAGGGTGCAACCTGTTTCCCTTTCACAGCTTCAGGGTTGTTCCCGATTTGTGCTTGATCTTTGCAGGTATCCAGTGAGGAATATTTAGTCTAGAATACCTGGAAAGGTGCCACGAAGAGTGGACCAGTAGTGAGGACAGAAAGACTCAAATTGTTGCCCAGGAAAGTTTTGTAGGTGAAGTGAAACTAATACATCTCTTTCTGCCCCAGAAGAGCAAACAAACAAACAAAAACCCCCCAATGTTTAGAATACCTTTCATCCCTTCTCTCTATTTATGTCTTGAAAATTACTGTGAAATTTTAGAGTGCATTGCAACATCTTCTTTCTTTCTTGCATATTACTAACCCCCCTAGCCTGCTCATAGCTGTCTGTGTGTGAGCAAGGAGCTCCAGACATGATTCCCCAAGTTGGGAGAGCACTCAAAAAATGCCTGACCTGCCTCTTCCACAGCAGATGGTAGATAATATCTTTTTGGTAGAGGATCTCACTCTGATCCTAACAAGCTTTCTAATTTAGCAGGGGTATTTCAATATGCAGCTTCTGAAAACTTAGGAAATGCAAGTTCAAATTTGAAATTTGGGGTAAATTTTAAATACTTAATATAAGTGACTACCAAAACAGCCTTCCTAGATGTGTAGTTTATTCACTTTACCTAGACATACTTATAGCAGGACTTAATTTATAATTTTCTCACAGAGATCATCATTTTGAAATGAGACTTTCTGGTGTGGTTATTGTTGCCTGAGGTGATGAATTCACAGAGTTAGAGTAGACAACCCTAACAGTTAATTCTGGCCTTAAAACATGAGAGACATTTTTCCATCTAGCCCTTTTGGATAGATGAAAAACAACCTCTAGCTGGGGGTGGTAGCAGTTCATTACTGAGCTGAACAGAGAGCTGGTGGTGCTCAGCAGGAGCTGGTGTGTTCAGTGGTCAACCCTGGCAGGCTCCAGACCCTGGCAGGCTCCAGACCTGCAGGACATGTCTTAACATGCACCACCTGCAAGCAAAAATCCTTTCTCCCAGCTTAGACTGAATCAATGAATGCATAAAATATCAGCAAGCAAGGAAGGAGAAAGGTACTCCAAGTTTGTTTTGTTTTGTTTTCCCTGCTGTCGCAGGAAAAGTGCTTGGAATTCTTGATTTGTTGAAATGTTCGAGAGGGAAATGACACTAATTTCTTTTTCTGCAAACCAATGTGTAAACAGAGAGAATGTTATGTTTTGCTTTGAACTTACATGTTACATCTTAAATATTACACCTTGCAGCACGTGTAAAGGCATATAAATGCACAAAAAAAAATAATCCACTTGCAAGACTGGCTGCCATGGAGAAAGGTTTTGGAGGGCACTTGGAAGTACACTGGGCAAGGAGTACAGAGGGCTTTTCATGTCTAGACTTGATGGGGATTGGGCTATTCAGACATAGGATTGGACTTGCCTCAGGTATATTGAGGTATATTGAGGTCTGTCTGCTCAGCTTCAAGTTGAATTAAATTGCAGTTTGAGAAGCTGTTTTAGGAGGGGATTGTGGCTCTCAGGTAATCCTGCTGTCGGGTGATGTAATCACCTTGCAGAGAGAGCAGTGCAGACAGGGTTTGTCTTTCTATTTTTCTACCCAGACCACTCAGACGACTAAATCCCTGAGAAGCAATGAGGGTTACATGCTCGAAAGCATAGCAACTGTCAGCAAGCCTTGCCCTCCGACACTGCAGAGGGCATGTGCCAGTCATGTCCTTTGGACTTGTCAGGTTTCAGGAAGGACCAGCTAAGCTGTCAAGGTTTGTTAACCTCTTGACACCACAACAGTAAACTACACATGTTCAGCAAGAAACCAAAAGCACTTTGCCTTAACTCAGCAGGATGGGAGTGCTGAGCCAGGGACCTCGGCGAGATGTGTGTGCAGACCTTATCTCAGCAAGCAGGAGATCTGAGCCAATAGCGAGGGGATGGCTTTGGCACCAAACTAATGAGTCAGACTTTGCTGATGCAAGTGCTGTCAGATTTCCGCTCCTGGACACGGGGCCAGAGCACTGGAGACGCTGAAGCTGTAATATCACAGCACCTAATGGCTTGGCATCACCCCATCGAGCCAGAGCTGCCATGCTAATCACCCCAGGGGCTCAACCTGCCGCTTAGCAGAGGACCTATTAATTAGTGGTGCTAAGCCAGGAACAGCAGAGAGTCCTGCAAAATTCATACGGGTGTCAGCCCTGAAAGAGCTTTGCCTCTATTAAAGAGATTAATAGCTGTAGCATAGAAAGTGAAAACCTGCTGTTCCATCTCACGGCTTGCACCCCCTCGGTCTTTCATGTGGTAGTGTAAGAGCTGTCATCCCTTTGTCAGAGGCTAAAGGAGGCTGCTTTGCCCTTTTGTATATAAATTTTTTTGCAGACAGTCTCTCCTTCTTGCATCTAAAATAGATGCAGCTTCTGAATTCACGAGACAGAGCCATAGCAAAGGATCTAGGAGGAAAGAGTTCACAAGGCTAAATCTAGAAGCCTTTAGAGAAATTCACTGTCAGATTGGAGTAAAGGGGGAAAAAAGTGCTGACTTTTCCAGGTTTGAGTAGTTTTTTACATATGAGAATCTTTTTTTTCCTAAATGGGAAACACTGGAAAAGAGTAGGGGAAAAAAAAAACCAAACTTAAACCTGATTATGTTTCTCGAACTAGTTATTTGTAAAGTAATATGTATTTCATCTTCTCCAGTAGAAACCAGGGAACTAGGGAAGGTGATTTCTTTTCCTCCTGTTTTCTACAGGTTTCATTCACTTCCCGTGTATAGTAAGCGTTTCTACTAGTCCGTAAAAAGACATTTGGGAGGCTCCCAGGCTATCAATATTCAATTAGCATTTAGTACTACACTCTCCTCTGCAAATTAAAAACTATGCAGTTTCCATAGTGACCTAAACAAGGTAAGAATCAGCTGATTTAAGTGAAGATAAACAGGCAACAATGTAGATATTTGAAATTAGTTTCGGGATTTGTTGTTGGATTAATGGTTGGTTTTGGTTCGGTTTTTTTCTCTCAAGGTGTATTTGGAGTAATAGACTGTAATCCTCACTTGAAAGATCTCTGGCAATGACTGGGCAGCCAGATCCTATTGTGAAACTGGTTTGGGTGCTCTTCAATGCTGATACTTCATAGTAAATGGCCAGGGAAGGATATTCTTCATTTTCAGCTGTTCATGTAGTTTCACCAGCTCTTTTTCCTTGTGGCATCACGACTTAAACAGACGCACATCTGTGATCTGTGTGTTTCTCTGAAATTTGAGTGACAAATGAGACTCCTTGCAGTGCAGAAGGGACCCAGTTACCTTCCATCCTGCAGTGGTGCCACTATCCCATCACTGGGACAAACCCACTGCAGCAAGAGACACTGGATTTACTACAGAAAAGACATTCAGTACAAAATCCTACTTTTTCATAAAGTTCCTTGAGCTCTGCTTTTAAAACTAGCTTTGTTTAGACAATGATAAGTAGATATAGCCATCTTCCTGTTTTGTTTGTGGAGCTTCAGAGGTAAAAATCACGTTCTGTGTTAGTTTTGTGAAGATCAACCACAGGTAAGAACCTCAGCTTAGAGAGAGTTCCTCCAAAATACTGCCACTGTGCTCCCCCTTTTTAGGGTGGTGCCCTTGAGGCTGAACACAAGCTTGTGATGACTGCGACAGTCCTAAGCCAGAGAAAAACTCTGAACTGTCTGTTACAGGTAAATAAACCAAATCAAAATTTAGCAGCAAAATTTATTGTAAGATTTATATAAAGTGCAGATAACCAAATCAGCGCGCTGGGTGGCCTGAGGAGACCCCTGCTCCCCACCGGCCCACAAGCCCAATAAAAACAAACAGCAACTTTTATACTTTTTCAACTCCCCTCCCATAGTCACTTGTTAGCTCTTGATTGGGCTTGGGTTCGCAGGCTTCGTTCTGGGTGGTTCTGTTGTAGGCCCATTTCAATTGCCAGGGACTTTTCCATCAATAGCTTTAATTAGCCCAATGTCCTTGGAGCTGAATATGGGAAGGTATCCAGATGATCCAGATGTTTCTCCTTGGCTCTTCTTTATCATTTTCATCCTTGACCCTCTGATCCTCATTCTTTTCTTCTTTTCTAATGAGTAACTTAGACAATATTTTTAGAAAAGCAGGATATCATATACGTGCTCAGTAAAGCAGAATACTTATCTTTGCCAACTTGGGAACTGCCAGTTGCAGGATAGTCAAGTTATAATAGTAACACAGCAGTTAACTATTCTGCAACTTACAACTCCCCAGTCTCAACCAAGCATTAGCTATAATATACAGAAAGTACAATATATATGTATTCCGACGAGTAAATTTTACCACTGCTTACTTATTACATGTCCATGGAAATTCTCTGGCTTTTAAGAACAATATTTCTTTTAGTTTCTAAAGTGTTTTGTTTTAAAATGAAGATGAGGGAAAGGAACTCATTCCAGACTTCCATCCTTCCAGTCTGAAGTATTTGCAGTCACTGATGTGCTCTTCCTGCTGTGGGTTCTTCCACATTAGCTGAAGTGAATTGGTCTGAGCACTGAGGCTTTTTTCTCGGCCGACCATCCTATTCCCTGTTGCTGTTTAGGTGAGAGTTGAACTCTGTATTTAGAGCCCCTCATCGAGATTTTGGGTCCCATTAAGCCAAGTCAGTGCATGTGCTAAACTAGCATAACTAATCCAACTACCAGTCCCAAAGTTACCTGGTGGGGTAACAAGCTCACAGAGATGCTCAGGCTGTTCATGTCACTACAGCTGACACGTGTCTGTTATAGGTGATTCTCTGCCCTGCACCAAGTTGAATGAGGCAATCTTTTGCCACACCAACAAAAAAAAAAAAATGGCAAAATGTACTGTAATAGTTTATATACTTTTTTATTCTGATACATCTATTTTATGGGAGATTCTATATGGTGTGGACAATAAGACAAATTAGGTATTCCAGCTGCAAAAACACAGAGCATGATGTGCAGTTCAGCTGCAAAAACACAGAATTCGTGTGACATTATTCAATCATCTTCCCCTGAGAGGTCTCCCCTGAGAGGTCTCCCCTCCTAGGTCAGTGTGGAAAAGACAGCCATTGCCAACACTATGTAGTCCATTAGCCAGCCAATCAAGATACCTGCCTTTCTGCAGTCACCAGTTGTGTGCTTTTAGCAAATATTCAAGTCAAATGAAGAAAATTGGACTGTCAAGGTCCAGAAGATGTTAGTAGAGAGAAACACAGCTTCATTTTTGCAGCGGGTTGTGTGTGTGTGAGAGAGTAAAAATATATACACTTTCAAAACATATTTAGTTTACACTAAAGTTTAGTTTACACTAAAGAGGCAATTTCACAGCTTAGAACATTTAACAAGGGTCTTTCTTTTTGGGTGTCTTTCAAATTGAAGTATATATTTCATGTGGTTTTGTTTATTTCTGTAATTGTCATCACTATCTTCATCTTTCATCCTGGTAGGTGTTCATTGAAATGTGCAGCTCCCTGTAAGAAAAGTTCATTGATCCATCCATGATTTTCCAGGTGTGTATATACAACTGTGAATTACACACTTGCACCACTTAGGGCTGAACAGTGAGTTAAAATTCTTGTAAGAACCTCATGGATTTCCTGTTTTTAGCATTCCTGCTGCTGGTATCTGGCTGCATGTAGTATCCTGGCTCTGCATGTTCCTATCCTGGTACCAAACGTGGCTGGATGCTTTAACAACTATTTAAAAATGTGAGTTCAAAAATGACAGGAAAATCTATGAATTGGCTAGTTCGAGGTTTATGAGTTTTTAAATTCTTATTATATAATGATAAAAACAGCTTGAAGGGTGCAGACTCAGAAAGTGACAGCTGGTAGGATTAGTAAAAAAAGCCCTTTTACAGCAAATCTACTGAAAGGAACAACTGAGATTTTGTGTAGTCTAAATTTTCCCCAATCTAATACATCCTGTATTCTATTCAAAACTTCACTTCGCAGTGTGATTCTTAGCTAGTGTGCATAATTCGTTTACTAATGCAAATTGAACAGTCCAGCAACAGCTCTTATTTAAGAAAAATTAAAAAGAAAAAAAAAGAAACAAAACTCCTGCAGGAAAACTCAAGTTTTCTGTTGAATAATTAAATTTACTGGTTTGTACTTTCTGTACTGGTTTTTCTTACATGCACTCTTTGCCTGCTCTGAGGCAAACCCCTGAGTTTCATCATCCTGAGATGTGCCTGCTTGCTTATGGTTCATGTTCTGACCATCCAAACTCATTGATATCGTTTGATCTAAGCTGTGGGTTTTTTAAGCTGCTGTGTACTCACAGCTCCAATTTACCTCAGCTGCACAGCAGCCTGGAAATCACAAAACCATCTTAGTAATATTCTGGAATTAATATTCTACTGACAGTAATAATGGAGAAGCCATGGCCACAAGAGCTGTACAGGCCAAGCTATGGCCTGTTTTTCTGCATCCTATGAAGATGATGGTCACAAGCTGAAGACGAGCTACCTTTCAGGGAGACTTTGAGAGAATTGTGGAGGTCTTTTCCAACCTAAATGACTCTGTGATTTTGTGATGTGCCATTGCACTGCCTTTGTCCATAGTGATCAGTGATATTTTATGGCCTAAGGTCAATGTGGTTATGGAAAATCCAAAACCAGATGAGATGCAAAATAGATGTGCAAACAGGTTCACCGTGATTTTGGTTATGGACCACCTGCCAGTGGGACAGGCCAAGTGCAGTGTGTTGTGGTCCATTCTGAAATTCAAATTTTCAAGAAGCCCAGACCACAGCAACTGATTTGATTCTGAAACTTGGAGGGATGAGAGAAGTTGATGTCTTACTGGATCTGGTATATCTGTTAGCTGTAAACATTGAGGTAAAAAGGGTGCTAAGAGGTTTAAAAATGGTGTGAAGAATTGTCCTCTCCTCAGTGATGGATGTGGCAACTTGATGCAGCATTGATGAGATCTGATCTGTAAGCAAACATGTTTCAGATGGGAGAAGAGCCACTGGTTAAACCATCTTGCAGAGCCTATAGTTCAGTTTGGGGCTCTGCTGGGGTTTGTGTTTTTGTGTTTGGTTTTTTGTGTGTTTGTTTTTTGGGTTTTTTTCATTTCCCAGCTTAAAATGATTCTCTTGCAGCTGCAATAGTTAATGAAGTGCTGAAAATGGAGTTGTTATTCACACTGGGGGGAAAAAGCCTTCCCTCTGTTGGCTCTCCGCAGGCTCCAGGAGTCGCTGGTATGGGTCATGGGGGAGGACTTGGCTGTTGGCTCAGGCAGTACAGCCTGATGAGCCAAGCTTGGGAGTTTCATAAACAAACATCTAGGCAGCTGCATCCCACCCAGGTTGGTGATGGGAGGACAAACTGTGAGGTGTGGCAGGAGATCTCTTCAATTCCTGTACTCCTGGCTTTCCTCTGCAGCAAGTGGAACTGCAGGCATTCTCCTACAGACAAAAAGGACTTTCAGTTTAGGATAACCCTCTTTTTTTATATTTGTCAACCAAGGTGTTGACGTTTTGTCGTCTTTTGGTTTATTTCACGTAAGTCACAGTCATAGACATTCTCCCAAATAAACAGACATGTAAGACATTTGCCAGCATATTTACTTTTCCTGTGTGAAACTAATTATTTCTTCAGCAGATGTCTTGGTTGTGCAGCCCTTTCCTGCAAAGATCATGTCCTGAGAAAGAAAAAAAACCAAAAAATTTCAAAACCTTGTAGAATGATAGCAAACATATAAGTATAGCTGAACAATTAATTGAAATAATAAATTACTCACTTCAGCAAGACCCTGAGTGAATCTGAGTCCTGGAATTCCTGTGCTATGTAAAGAGCCCTGACAGTGTTTATTTAAGTGGGAAACTTTCTCTGCAAGGAAATTGGTAAATAGAGACCTCAGATGTTCAAAGCTAAGGGCCTGCAGAAGAAATACCAAACCTCAGGGCCATGCCCTTGATTAGTGTATACCGTTGATTACAACTTATATTAATCAAAGATCTGTCTCTCGATAGTTGTTCACATTATTTGGTCTTACTGACCTTGCAATTTTAGTCTGTAGGAGCTTCTGTCTCTTCAAGTTTTAATGATAAAGGTAATAGTAGATTAACATGACTCAGACAGTGGCTGCCTGGTTTTGGTCCTGTCTCAAAACAAAAAAGAGAGAGATCTAAGCACAGAAAAAATTATCAAAGGAGTTAAAGATATACATATTTAAAATTAAATCAAAACTGCCTGTCTCATATTCTTGAAGGCTCTGGAGAAACAATTGAACAAAGGCATTTTCTGGCTGAGCAATCAGTGGAGATCAGCTCTTTTATTTGCCAGTCCCTTCTGCAGTGTTTATGTGAGCTGAGTAACAACAATGATTTTCTTCAACACGTGTGTTTCCAGTATGTGTGAGATAAATTTTACCAAATAAGGGAGACGAGAAGACATCTCCAAAATACCCAAATGAGGTATAACGTCACACTTCCAGCATGCTCCAGGGACAGCTTGTCAATAGAATTGCTTCTCTCTCAGCAGTGTCTGGTGGAGCTGCAGACAGAAAATCCCAAAGAAATGTCAGTGAGGCCTAAAATAACGATAAAGTCATTTTCAAGTTATTTTCAGAGGTACCTACTCCTCCCGTGGCATGGCAATGAAGCTGTCAGAGATTTGAGCAGGCAGTTGGCCCCAGAACACAGTGCTTCTGCCCTGTGTGTTTACATAAGGCAGATACAGAAGTTGTAGCACAATTATCTCTGGGAATGTTAGAGCTGAGATGGTCTGTGTGTTCATCAGAGGCTGAGCAACAGAGGAAGAACTAAACATTGAGAAATTCAACTTGCCACTGAAATTTCCAACTCAATCATTGTTTGGACCACATTCTGCGGGATATCCCCATGACACACTAGGATATTACTAGCATTGTTGTG